AATTCTAGTGTCAAAGACCAAATACAGGCTGCATGGCAGATTCACCGGAAACCAGATCGTTGGGAAACGTTTCCACTTTCATATGTACAATCTTGGGACTACGTAAGATTGACGGATATTTTTGACATGGATTGCACAAATCAGATACTGTGTATTGGACATACCTCCGCATTGCAACGAAACAAAAGGTCACTCATCGTTTTTAACCATGACGAACTACTGGATGTTTCGTATACCGTATACTAAAAAAAATTGGACAATTTGGACAAAGCCAAATAGGGTAATCCAGGGTAATCCCATGTCATCCTCATTTATTGTTGGTCAACTCTCCATTTGTTTAGTTGACACCCCCCATTTGAGGCTTTCGATTGCCATGGAGCGATACGATCGCCCAAATGGAGGCCAATCTGGGACTTCACTGCATATTTTCTGAGGGTTGAAGTAGCAATGAATGGAGATATAGTGGGGATATACATGGATGATATATATATATTATGTATAATATATATGCATAATATATATGTATAATATATGTATAATATATGTATAATATATATAATATATAAAATATATATAGTATATATATAAAATATAATATATAATCTATAATATAATATGTATATATAATATAATATAATATAATATAATATAATATAATATAATAATATATATGTAATATATATATTATATATATGTATAATATATATATATGTATATAATATATATATAATATATATAATATATATATATATATATAGTGGGGAACTATAGCCTACTTCATATGATATTTGGGCTTTATCTGAAAATGAGGTCTATCCCCCCCAAAAAAAAAATCTTTAGGAAAACTCTGAGACCATGCTGAAGCAGACGAAGATGGCTTTGGTTAAATGATTTCCCTAACATTAGCACCAAAAAAGATAGAAAAATGGTCATTTAGCCTAAAGATGCTGACATATTGTGTGTTTGCATTTCTAACCTTTGCTATAAATTCCCATGTTTCATCCGTTTTTGCAAGTCAAGTCCCCTTGTCACGGAACTTCACTGCATGTTTGTTGGTCAAGTCCCAATTTCCCCAATGGCTCCATCCACACCTGGCAGGTTATGGGCAACGCCCCAACCGTCAAGCCCTAGATGGCCCTTGTGACCGGGGATCTACACGGAGAGCTCAGGTGCATGGCGTCATGGGCTACCCCGAAATGGATGGTTTACAACGGATTATAGTGGAAAATCCAAAAAAAACATGGATGATTTTTGGGGTCCCATTTTAGGAAACCTCCATGTACCGAGAACTGGTCATTTCACATACAAGTAGCTATTGAACATCGCCATTGAGTCAGTTAGTTCATTGATTTACCTATTAGAAATGGTGATTCTCCAGTTCGCGAACTGTTAAATTACCGGAGGGCAATCATGTAGGATGGGAAAATATTGCGGCAAAAATTGAGGATTTTCTCTATTTACTTCACATTTTTTCATGGGCAGAAAGTGTGGGATATCTCCAATGATATTTGCTGGTGAACATCTGCCACTTCCGGACAAACCCTTTGAATATTGAAGCACATATATATATATATATATGTATATATATATAGTTTATATTTTGTTGACCATCTGGCAATTTATTATAGCTATTAAAAAAGTCATAGATTTTGATAGGTAAATGGCCATTTTGCATAGCTATGCGGAATTACCTTAAAGGCGGCATTCAAGAAGTAGCATCTCATAATTGGCTAATCAGAATATTAGCTAGGAATGATTAATGTCGAGTTTTTTCTCATGTCATTTTGCTGATAAGCCCACCTTATACTTGATTGAACTCCCAATTTTTGGATTGGTAAACCACACTACTGCTAAAAAGTGAACTTCATTCCACCATTTTCTATTTGTAATGGTCAAAACTCCAGGTGTTTTGGTGATTTTGATTCTACGAATTCATTCAACATCCACATTCAAATGTCACGAGAAAAGTAAACATCTTGTTTTTCAAAATTGCTAGTGTGGTTAAAATTCAATCTTAAATTGAGTGAAATGCACACTACAACCATTTGTTTTCTGGCCCAAACATCCCACATTTTTCCGTTTCCTTGCCAAACAAATGCCAAAAAAAATCCATATACATTTCACAAAAAAAAATCCCACACTACAACCATTTGCTTTTCCCACATGTTTATACATTTTTGTGAAAAATCACTTTTCGAGGCGTCTTTGAATACGGTGGCATTTTTGGTTGCCAGGCCTATGGCCAAAGCCGCCTGGCGGATCGTCCCAGATCTCGAGGCGGTAGCACGGTAGCATTGGGATTTTCATGGGAACATATGACGGTTTTCCTAAAATAGTCGCATATATATATATATATACAAACTACCTATATATATAGGAATATAATGTATCTTACATAATATATATATATGGAAACTATTTTAGGAAAACCAACGGTAACCAACATAACATATGATTTGATGGGCACATATGACGGGTACCCCAGTGATGTTTGTTGGTTTACAAAGCCCATGAATACCATAGTTATCTAGTTCGTTATATCTACCATAAACCATAATTAGTTAAGCCACTTATAAACCAACTTAGCTGGGTACCCCAAGTCATCTACTTTAAGAGGATATAACATATATATATATAAATAATAATAATAATAATAATAATAAAAATGATAATAATGATAGTAATGATAATGATAATAATGATAATGATAATAATAATAATATTGTATATATATATATAAATAGTCCCATAATATTTATTGGATTATAATCATGTTCCCTATTTTTCACTAGCCATTTAGAGGTACACACCCATCTTGGCAAATCCATTCACTGGGATTTTCATGATTTAATGGCACCAATTTTCAACCCCACCAATCCATGAACTAGAATCATATATCGGTTTGTCTGATAATAGGGTAGCCCCATAAAATTATTGATTATAAAATTCCTTTTTTAGGCGAGTGGAGTAGTTTTGCTGCCATTTTCCACTGTGGGTTCTACATTTCTCGTTGGATTATAATCATGTTCCCTACTATTGGATAGCCATTTAGAGGTTAGCCCATTTTCAGGCACACAAAAATCTTGGAAAATCGATCGCTTCGCTGGGATTTAATGGGACGAATGTTTGGCTTCTTCCACCAATCCATACGAAATCATGGGAAAATGGAGGTTTTGACGGGACAATCCTTTATAAATGGAGATTGTTTCTGACAACATGCAGAAAAGCCACCATGGTGGATATATGAGATATAACTAATGGGATAATATGGGATGTAATGATATAATGGGATATACACAATTATATATTCCATATATTCCATATCTATGTTTTTTGTTTAACCAACTATCATGGTGGTGTAATATGATATATAATGGGTTTAAGCAACAAATAGGGGGGCAGAGAATGATAGACATGGACAACCAATGGCTTTATGGGAATCATATGGGAATAGAACCAATGAATATGGTATTTAAACAACGAATGTATGGGTATGTATTGGTATATATATACACTACTATGGAGAGTCACCACTTCAGTCCATTTGTAATTTTTGAATATGGAAAATCATTAGTGAAGGGAAAGCATTGGGCGATTTTTTCTTTGTTAATTTATTGTAAAGTTAAGTCCAACTCAGTATTATCGATTGCATAGTACCAGTAATAGTATAACTACTAGCAAATGTTGTATGTCATTAACTACAACTACAAATGGAGGATGTGATGGGAAGATGGGAATGTCATGGGCTGTGGGATACCATAGGCATAGACTGGGTATAATTATTCGATTACTGTACTCATACACATTATACTATTAGATGGCCACATTCCCAGTATGACTGTGACTGGTTTCCTGGTTTCAATCTCTGCGTACCGAGCCCCAAGACCAGAACGGAACCTGGGAACCTCCTATTGGGTTGCAAAGCTGGTTGACTTATTATCAATCATTCGATTATACAGGATCATTCCCTAGAATCTTAGGGATTTAATGAGTATTCCTATCATTTCCTATAGTCATTCTAATTAACCCAGTGTTGCAACCCAACAGCAGGTTCGAGGGTTCCAAGGTTTTGGGATATTCCCAGATTCCAGGTTACCACCCCCCCCAAAGATTGAACCCCAACAGTCACTGCTGTTGGGTATAATGAGTAATGATTCAACTGTTTTTTTTTGGATTTCACCGAGAATGGTGAAAACATTCAAACCAAACCGGCATCTGGAACGTATGATCTATGGGTGTTTGATGAGGGGAAGGGATTACAAACAAAGATTGGAACAACAAAAACTGACATCTAACTAGTAGAGCTCGTGTTGCAAGATGATTTGGCCATCTTTGGGTTCCAAGATTTCAGTGTTTCACCAAGAACCAACTTCACTTCAACTAAACAATGAAACCGTATCATGGATGTTAGTTTCAAAGTGCACGGCATACTGCCAATGAGAGATTCTCTGCAGATGGCTTTGCATGTTTTGGCACAGGCCGTCCGATCGAGAAACTCGCGTTGCATTGCATCAAACATTTACGTGCTGTCTCAGAATGTTCCAGATGTTTGCTGTCGGTTTCAGAACTTTTCAGATGTTTGTTATAATGCAGTATTCTTTTCATATCAACGATTTTTTTCAACTCTCTTTGTGGATGTTAAAGTCATATATCAAGGATATGTCCTAACGTGGACATTCATTCAAATTTTTGTAACGGATGAAGTGTGGTTTCTTAACGTGGATACAACCCGTCCGCAAATTTTACCATTGAATCCTATTAAATCCCATTGAATCCCATGAAATCCAATCAAATCCCATAAAATCCATTGAAATCCCATTAAAATCCCATGGATTTCCATAAAATCTAATCAAATCCAATAGAATCCAATAAGATTTTCCTAGAATCGCATTAAAATGTCATGAAATTCCATAGAAATCTCACTAAATCCTATGATTCCCATGAAATCTCTTGAACCTTCGGCAGGTGCTCCAAGTAGCGCGAAGCGCGCGGCGCAGGACGAGATCATCGAAGAGTTCTTGGAAGGCGCTTTTTTCGCACCGGTGGGGCCCTGTAGTTATGGTAGATTTGACACATAAAAGTGGTGGGTGAATCAAGCAAAATAGGGATTTTGTGGTAGTTAAGTTGGGTTTATAGTTCTATACTTAAGTATCTTAAGTTGGGATAAACAAGTTAGTTGGCTTGCTTGTAATCCCATGGCGACATGAAAAAAACCGCCTATGTGGTCCCTCAAAGTGAATAGATCCACTAAACCAGGGGGTTGAATATTGTGGTATTTGATATTGGGCTTACCCTCTGGTTATGTCAAAATAGCTATTGAACATGGCCCATGGAAATCGTTGATTTACCTATTAGTAGCATGGTGATTTTCCAGTTCGCAAACTGTAAACGTTTACCAGAGGGTAATTGTGGAATATGGTGGATTTAGCTATCAACTATACGGGTTTACCTGTCAACAACTATGGGGATATGATTGAGAAATGATGGGGTATAGGGTATGCCATAGTTGCTAACCATCCAAAAATAGGGTTTGAATCGTAAATAATAGAATAAACAGGGACTTAACTGGCAACAAATGGTGGATGTTTTTTGTGGTTGGGATTCTTGTTTTTTTCCACGTTGCTGGATGGGAATCATGGAGTTTCAGCGGTTCTTTTCACCGAGAGCCGACTTCACCAGAAATAACTGTTAGTAACTGTTAGTACGGGCACACCTCAAGCTGAATTCTGATTTCTGGATGCGAATTGTTTAACTATGGTCAACTTAGACTATTTCCATATTTCCCCATTTTTAAGGGGATCATTTTTTACCATCTGAGCATCTAACTTGTCTAACCAGCAAACGATGGAAAACCAGGGATTCATTTGGCAATATATAAATGGGTATAAACGGAATTTGCTACTTTTCTATAGAGAACACAATGTTAACGCCACTACATTTTTTGTCGTACCCTGTTTTCCGACAAATCTCTATGTTATACGGGTTGCATATTTTCTACATGATGTTGGTATGTTCTTGTAAGATATGATGCATACGATATATAAGGTACAGCATATGAGCAATATATGGAACACTGGACGTTTGTGTTTTCATAATATGGGTAGACTCTGCCGTCACCAACATAAACTTTAAACAATTACCCTGTGGTAATTTAATGCATTCTTATGGAAAATCATCATTTTCAATAGGTAAATCATGATAAGACATCTACAAATGGGCCATTTCCATAGCTATGTTAAATAGCCAGAGGGTATTTGGGGTTTGACGAAGCTGACATGGCATTCGGAACAGTCATGTAATTTTTATGCGGCCCAATGGCTACATAAATCCTCGAGATTTTCCTTCGGTAAAGTTTTGGGACCGACATCAGACAATTTGGTCTCGTGTAAGATGTTGAAAGATGTTGTTTTAAAGAAGTGAATAGCCTCTGGTGAACTAACATAGCAATGGAAAAAATCACCATTTTCTAGCTGGGAAAATCCACTATGTCTATGGCAATTTTCAATAACTTTTTGTATGTTTACCAGTGGATAGACTTTAGCAAAGCTACATGGGCGTGTTTGACAATAGGCTACACCCCAAAAATGGCCAATCTTGAGAATCATGATGAACCGATGGGTTAAAAATGGTACCTAAACGCTTGAAACAACGCAACAGCATATTTTTGACCATGAAAAATAGGAAGAAAAAATCAACAGAAACATATATTTCTCAGTAGCTTGATGATTTCCATGACATATTTGTTGACATTATTTGATGATTACGCCATACTATGACATATGACATTTTATGACATTATTTGACGATTACATACGATTACTCATCAATAAAAATCATGTATTTCCAGTAGGAGAGATATCAATACATTGGGATTATTGGGCCCTGACTCACCCCTGTCACCCAGCGACCAGTTTTGCCGAGGTCTTTTAGACGGTTTCCGATGCTCGGCTTAGGGAATTTTCATGGGGAAGCTGAACACGGGCTAAATCATGCTAAAACCACTATATATTTATTTTGAGTTAGATCTGAAATGTCCTGATATCAGTAAAGTCATGTCCCTTTCAAAAGCCAGAAACCTGCACACCCCATTTTTTAAACCAACAGCAAAGAAATTTTCCCCAACCATTTCCTTTCGTCCTATTCATTTTTGTTTCCTTGAATCTTGATCGGTGCACTCCCGATTTTGTTTTGCTCGTTTTTCTTTTTGAACACAACTTAGACTTGCAGCTGCTTTTGCCACGAGTTCTCAGGTTTATGATGGTTTATGTACTCTCTCACAATCAAACCTTGCAATGCAACGTCTTTTTTGGGATGATAACTTGCCAGTCTGCGATGAACATTGGTGGTGAATCTCCACGAATTGTCCCATCTTGAAAAAAACGCACATTAATGGAATATGTCATATTTATACACACTTAGTATTCTCAGTAAAATTTGCTATATATACATATGCATATATCTACACATCGAATATTCCCAGTCACATATATGTATATATATATACATATTATAACATAGATATACATAGGTCGTCTACAACACAGGACATAGCTCGGCAGCCATGCTCCGTCCCGTCCGTCCCGAGGCATGGCCGGCGTGGGCCACCGGGCCGCCGAGGCTCCAGCGCTACCGCCGCTGCAGGACCCTGGAAATTGGCTCGACCTGGATGCGGTGCCAAAGGCGTCGCTGGGAGCCGCTGGGAGGTGGAGAAGCCATGGCTGGGAGGTCTATTGATACTGGGAGGTGGATTAATAGATAGATACATAGATAATATTGGATTAATATTGGATAATATTATCTATTTATTGATCTCTTGATCTATGAATCCATTTATAACAATTTGTAGGAGAAGGCCTTTTAGCCAGTGTCTGGGTGAGTAAACAGTTACCAAGTGGGATGCACATCCAAGTCGGAGATGCAGGATAGATGACACCGTGAGGTAAACTAACATAGATATGGAGAACACACATGGTTTTGCCAGAAACATGATCTATCAATGTTGGGTTTCCGCTATCTAAATTCATTTTGGCATTTTGGACTAGAAGTGGGAACAGAAGGAATCATATTTTTCTTAATGTTACGTCGGTGCCAGAATTATAGAACGAAATTAGGAGTACAAAAGTACGGTAAAATACCGTACCTTCGTACTCCTCCGGATCCCGATTCCGCGCGGATTTGGATCCTGTTCTATAACTAGTTTTTCTGTTCTATAATTAACTTTTCTGTTCTATAATTTCTGGCACTGGCAGGTCTACTAAGGGAATAATTATTGCCATATCATATATCCCTCAAATTCCCATTGAAACAGCCAGCAACACGCAGATTGTATGACTCTTGGAGGTTACTGACATATATTTGCATCATTTTATGTATCTTTCTGGGACCCCGGAAGAGGTTATTTACATATATTTGCATCATTTTATGTATCTTTCTGGGACCCCAGAAAAAAGTGACACAGAAACCAGAATTATAGAACGGTTTACGCAAAATTAATTATAGATCAGAACGGAAAAACTAATTATAGAACGAAACTGGTAAATGTGGGAAACATGGGGGAACAGACACAATTATAGAACAAAGCAGAATTATAGAACGACGAAAAAAAATAGGAGTAAGTTAAGATATTTTTTTTTTATATCTTCCGAGGAAGACATAATTATGGAACAACAGGGTACGGTAATATTTCCGTACCTTCGTACTCCTCAACTTCCGTTATATAATTCTGGCACCTACCATAACTTCAATGGCCATTCCAGGATCCTAAATTGGAGGTACCTACCATATATAAGGCCTATTTTTTAGGCCTATGTAAGGGGATATACACTTAAAATATTGCCTTATATGGTACAGTACCTTCATTTTAGGATCCTGGAATTCCCATTGATAACTAGTAACTGTTGAAATCAGCTTTCAAATTGCAGTTTCGTAGGAGTTACGTTTGGATGGATGTCGGGTCGCCATGTTCTAGATGACCGGCCGAGCTTCGACGGTTTCCCGAAAAAGTGCTGCAGCAAACCTAGTGAGGTTGATATTTCTTGTGGTAGGCAACCATTTGTTTCATGGGATTGGTTTAAGGGAAAATCTACAGGAAACCATTGTTTTTACCATCAAATATAGGGCTTTCCTGTAAATTTTCCCATCATCTAATTCTATGATTGTTGGCAGATTGGATGAAATTCCCTATCAAGTAGCGGTGTTTTCAAAGGTGGCAACTGAAAATCCATCATAGTTCGACGATCTTTCCAACTGAATCTCCGGATTTTCCAGCTGAGTCTTGGGCTGGTCCTGAACCAACCAGCTGGTGTTCCCCGCCGAGAAACGGTCATCAGCTGTCATCAATACATCAAAGCAACTTATAGGGCTGACTTCGAGATTTTTCTTCCAGTCCAGTTTTTCAGGGGCAAAACACCAAATTCATCATTTGTTTCGTTTTTTTTTGGCTAAAAAACATTGGCTGATACACCACGAAAATGGCTTCAGATCCGAATTCCGTGGCAGCCAATACGCCCCAAAGAATTCGACCCAAACCACTACTTGCACTTTTTTTGGTTCACCCAGAACCTCCCGGGTGTGGTTCTAGAAACACAGGCTGGCGCAAGTTTCGAGAGCAAGAAAAAATTGCAGAATCTGCTGTTACTGGGCAGGAATTCAGGGACTAACCTGGTGGAGAGTTTGGGAATATCAGCTATATTTCAACTGATATTATTTAATAGTTGGTTATAATTTTAATGTTATAGTATGTTATAGTTATAGTCTTATATGTATATGTTATCTGTATATCAAGAAAATGGGGATATGATCCGACCACGAAAAAAAGTCGCGTCCGAGCTGATTTCACCAGCAGAAAAGTGATCTTTTTGTTGGTTGCTGTATCTTTTTGGTACCTTGGGACGGGGGGAATAAAGTCATTTTGAATACCCTCTGGTAAACATACATAAAAAGCTATTGAAAATGGCCCAGTTGAAATAGTTGATGACTACCCATTAATAGCATGGTGGATCTTTCCCATCAGTTTTTTTGTATGTTTACCAGAGGGTAGTTTTTTCTTTCTTGTTTGTTGCTTCTCCTTAAATGGGCTTGTCTGAAAATCGGGCGCTCCATTATGCCCATTCCATCCTACAGCTGAAAAAGCCTCACTTTCCCAATTGTTTGAAAGCCACTAAAATGGGGGAGTCAATACTAATTTGTTTTTGGACAAAACCCAAGTAGGGTAAATCATCATTTAGTAGAATCCCCACTTGCTCAATCTTACTCAGATCAATCCTAAAATTTTTTAGAGTCTGGAATCCACGTTTCTTTTGGGCAAACATGTTTGAAAATTCCAAAAGAACCAGCTGTTGACATCCCCAAACATCAGGCGTTCTTGAAGCTACATATCCCGTTGCTGGCAATATCATGTTGGGAGTTTCAGAACCCTAAAATGGATGTACTGTCAACAGTACCATAAGAGGCCATATTCTGTCGGGAGATCCCCCAAGAAAAGGGCATTCTTGCATAGGCCTTACATAGGTCAGTATTTAGGTGCCTGGGATATTGCCTGACTATATATCCAATTATGTCCAATGATACCCACAATCCTCACATTTTGGTTGATTTCCAGATTCGGTTGGTGACATCCCTTTTTTGTTGGTTCGGTTAGTTGTTCTGACCTCATATTTGTTGCTAAAACCCATGGTCATTGTCAGTGAGTCCAAAATTTGCTGCTTAAAATCATGTTAAGTAAAATCTCTATTTATCTCATTTATTCAGATTTATTTCATCATTTCTCCTCGTTAGAGCCAGATTTTTGCTGGCTAGATCCCCAGGTCTTATTCCATTACTCTATGATTATTCTACGATCCCCCATTGTTCGCTGGTGCCCCATTCATTTTTGGCTGGTCAGATCCCTCAATGGATTGGTTTAAGGGAAAATCTTCTCCGGAAACCATCGATGTTCCCATTAAGATCATGGGGCTTTCCGGTTAGAATTTTCCCTTCAACCAATCCATTGATAAAGATATTTTTGGTTCATAATTCCACATATCCGCTTGGAAGCCCCCATTTTTTGTAGCTCCTGACATCCGGTTGGAACCCCACCGCAGGTCCCGCAAGTCTCCATCGCCTTCCCGCGGTCCGGCCACGGACGACGATGCGCTGTCGGTGTCCTTGCGCCGGCACGCGCTGCGGGTGCCGCGGAGAAAGGACGGTGACGTTTTTTCAACATCGGGATTTCACGAAGCAAACATTGTCTGGTGGTGGTTTGGAACATTGTTTATTTTTCCATATAATTGGGAAGAGTAATCCCAACTGACTAATATTTTCAGAGGGATTGAAACCACTAAGCAGTTGTTATTTTAGATGATTTCATGGGATTTTATGAAGTTTTTAGATGATTTTCATGGGATTTCATGGGGATTTCATGGTGACTTTAATGGGATATGATATGATTTACCCTCCGGTTTCATCAAATATAGCAATGGGGATATCCCCAATTTTTTTCGGCATTTCAAGGAGCAAAATCATCGAACCAAATGGGGAGTTTTTTTCCAGCAGACCATGTTTGATTGCCAGAGGGTAGTACGATTTTCCTGACATCGGGGGGTTGCTATAGCCCAAAAAACTTCGAAAATACTTACATATTGCATCATATTGCCGTATGGCTGCTCAAAAGAGAAACTCAGTGTAACAGGGCACATACGGGCAACTAACAGAATTATTGGAAATCTCAATCCATACAGGGTGATGGACATGACATATCGCTGCAAAAAACATCTCGCGAACTAAGCATGTCTACTTACCTGTCCGGTAATGGTGGACATCAGCGGATTCTTGTGTGGGATGTAACATTTAATGCAACTAATACATTAAAGGAGGATGCAAGAAATTGCAGGGAGATGGATGATGCCTTGATATCGCACCCCCCAAAAAGATTCAGACAAGTAACTAGGGGTAAATTATATCGCTCCCCCTCCAAATTGATAGCTGTTTTTGGTGGTTACTACACTTCAAAATTACCATCACAAAAAAGTGGCTCCTTGCCGGTGAAGACGGGAATCCTTGTAGGTGGCTGTGCGTTTTACAATCTCCTAGGTGCCACCATTAAATTGGACTCCCAAAAAAAGGGGGGTGGGTCAAGACTCAAAACCGATGGTTTTTTCATCTGTGATTTCCTGAAATGGACCCCAAAATCCTTGGTGAAACCCAATAGAAATCACCAACTTTGAGGTCCCCGATGCTCGGAAAGCGTCATATAAATGGGGGATATGAACATTCACGACTCCCAACTCAATTTACCCTCTGGTAATTTAACATAGCTATGGAAAATCACCATTTTTAATGGGTAAATCCACTATTTCTATGGTCATTTTCAATAGCAAACTGTTAGTTTACCAGAGGGTAGCCAGAGTTGGCTTCGATATTCCCATGATTTTCCCACTAAAAAATCACTGCCCAGTCGTCACGTCGCTGGTTTGAGGCATTCTTAGAAGAGACCTGTGGAACCGTGGCGAATGCCTTTGACATCATGGCAGGCCGTTGACATTAGCGAGGTGTTTCGAGATGATGGACATATTATAGGAGATTGACCATGAGTTCTTTTTGTTTTTTAAACAATGACTCAGCGTCAGCGCCAAATGTCATACCCAAGCTGCGGGTGCCCTGTATATATATATATATAAGCTCTATACATACATATATATATACATACAGATTTCATGGGATATATATATATAGGAGATGATATAGGACATTTCCGAATAAATATCCTATGATGGAAATTTAAAGGAAATGTATAGGACATTAATCAACCATCAAACAAGGTGGGTATATATGACCAGCTCCGTAGTTGGACAATCCACCATTTTGATTGGGCATGTTCCACCTAGCCACGTTTGATGAAACCGGAGGGTAGCGGTGATATGGAACGAAGATCCGATACAACTAACAAGAATGGGATATAAGCAACAATGGTGGGAGATCATGGGCTGAATGGAATATACCCTCTGGTAAACTAACATAACTGATGGGAAAATCACCATTTTTAATGGGAAAATCCACTATTTCTATGGCCATTTTCAATAGCTATTTTGACATAACCAGAGGGTAATGGCATTTTTGTCATAACCATGAAAGTCATTTTTCATGACTATTGGGATGAGCCGATATAACTGGGGATTTCAGCAATAAAACTGGTGATTTACCCTCTGGTAAACTAACATAACTATGGAAAATCACCATGCTATTAATGGGTAAATCAGTTATAAATGGTCATTTTCCAATTCGCTATGTTAGTTCGTTTACCAGAGGGTAATTGGATATCATAGGGATGCACTTGTGATTCTCGTGGGATGTAATCGATGATTTCCTGGGGAAAAATCGCCAGCGGAGCTGAGGAGCTGTTTGCTGCGGGGATCATCGGTTTCCGACTTGTCATGGGGCTACCCCAAGCGGGATGGTGACTTTTTCCATGGGAAATCCCAATCGAATCTGCTGGATGATATCACGACTAGTCACTAGTCAGACGTGATCAAATACAGAACTATGATCCATACGTATTTTCTGGGCAATCTTGATGGAAATTGTATGAAATTCTTGTATCTACATGTTTTCTTCTATCTCCAAGTGTCCTAATACACCTCAAATTCGGCTTCTAAATTCCTAGACTTGGATGAATGGAAAAAAACAAACATGAAATTCCTCTATCATTGCTGGAAAAAAACGTGGCTTCAGCTTCTCACCCCCAAAAAAACACTCCCAAACGAACCAACCATTTAATGTCATATTTGTTGGTTTCCCATTTTGATGGTTCACTCTTATATAACTATTCCCTACAACTCTGAGTGTTCTCCCATCCAAAAACAAGGTTCATAACCATCCCAGTGATTGAACTATGTCAAAATCTCCTGTTCAAGTTCTGCTTAAATCCCAGTTGATGATCACCCTTGGAATAACCGTGGGAAATGTCCCGAACCAAGCGACCTGCGGGGCTGATCTCACCCGTGCCGTGGCCCAAACTTCGGAGGTTTGGCCTTGAAAGCCTCCATGGGTGGCAGCGGTACCTGTGATGATCGGCTGCACTTCACCTTCCATGAGGAGGTGGTGATGGGAGGTCACAGGATCTGGTGGTGACATTTCAGCAACCCCCAAAAAAGATCAGAAAAGGTGACATTTATCACCATTTTACCATCTGGAAAATTGACACAGACCCTAAATATCACCCATTTTGAGTGGAAATTCATCTTCCAACCCCAAAAATGCCAGGGTCTATGTGAATTTACTGGAGGGTCATCTATTTTTTATGAGAATAGATAGACTTCTGGATCTTTTGAGCGAATGGTTAATTCCAGAAGAACTTTGGGTATTGTTTGAATAGATTAATGACACTTTGGGCTAGTGTGCCTTCGTTCGGTGGGTAAATTAAGGCTGGGTCATTATAACCTTGGTTTAATTGAATAAATCAACATCCTACCGTTGAGAACTTTTTTTTTAATCTTTGCCTTACCACTATTTCATTGGATAAATTCCCCAATCCAATGAAGTCATGCTGTTTTTTTGGTATCTTTTTGGGGGATACCATATCCTCGGGTTTTCCGCTTGCAGAGAAGATGGAGATGATGTGGATTTTTTTTCGGCTCGAGATTGGATGGTTCACAGTTCTCATCTACAGCAATCCCCACGGATGCATGTCATTACCGCGTGGAACATGCAGAAACGCTGATAGCTCTGCCAATACTCCACATGTGTGCAGATGTTTACACTATCTATCAATATATATATATATTATATATATATACATTATATATATATATATTAATATATATTACACATGTTACCTAGATGTATCACCCTCTATGTACTTAGAACTACGAAGAGTCTACTGGTTCCTGGTTTCATTTTGTTGGTACGGAATTGACCCCCCTTCAGAAGGATTGAACCATAGTGAAACCAGCAATCAGCGTATCTACAGTACATAGTCTACAGATAGAAATACCACCTGGTTATTTAACATAGCCATGGACAATGGCCCATTTATAGATGATTTTCCCATTAAAACCTCCATTTATAAGGGATTTACCATGGCTATGTTAAATAACCAGATGGTAAGTGAAATAAGGAACCCCCCACATCCAGTTTTTAACCGTATGCATAAGCAAGGTAAGATGAATGCATAGGTAATGGATAGGTATCCCCCATTTTGAGGTTATCCATACTCATATTACAGGCATTTTTTGGCATTTTTGTGCGTCTAAATGTGTAATGTACGCATGTGCAATTCTGTACATAGACACTCTAGTACCCCAGAAAAAAGAACACACATATGCCCATCAAAGGTGACACACATAGCGCCCTTTTCGCAGAGTTATTCCCCAATTTCCACCTTTTTGTTAGTCATATAACCAAGATTTTAGTATATTTTAGTAGTGTTTCCTAGTGCTTCCTACTCAAATCCATCCCTTTTTTCTGGGCCTTGGCGGGGGCCGGTTCGGCCTCCGTGGGGCTCCGTGGGGCGTCGGCTGGGACGGGAGGACTTCCACTTGTCTCTGACACATTTGGGCTATGGGCTCGGTGCTAAGGACGAAAATCCTGAGGCTTTAGCCATCAACGAATGGGGATTACCCTCTGGCCAACTGATTAATGTGGATTTTATAGTGGTTTAATGGAATTTTATAGTGATTCAATGGGATATTAATGGGGATTTCATGGGATTTCATGGAGAATCATATAGTTAGTTTCCATGAAAATAGTGGCTGATCATGGGTGAATAGTGGTTGATCATGGGATTAATATGGATATCGGATATACCCTCTGGTTATGTCAAAATAGCTATTGAACATGGCCCAATCGAAATAGTGAGTTTTCCCATTAATAGCATGGTGATTTTCCATAGTTATGTTAGTTTACCAGAGGGTAATGGTGGTGTCAAGTAGTATCTGATAGCACCCTTTTTGGGGTGCATATTAGATATAATGTGGGTAAAACAATGTCATGTTTACCATCCCCCAGTCATCACCATTTTTATAGGTGGTATGGTTACCATTCCCAGTTATGGGTGGTTGATGACATTGTTTTACCCACATTCATGGGGATTAATGGTGGCAATCACTAGGGAAAACCATACTTTATGGTGGGTTCGTGAAAAATGGGAACTTATATGGGAGGTGTTTCATGGGAAGATAGTGAGAATATCAAAGCTGATCAATGTTTATGGTGGTACAACATGTGGGATATCATGGGAAGAACATGGGGACATAATGATACAGCGACATGATGGGAATTTTTCATGGGAATGTAATGGGGATATCATAGGATTTTTCAACAAGCCAAGTGAATATCCTCTGGTAAACTAACATAGCTATTGGAAATGGCCATAGAAATAGTGGATTTTCCCATTAAAAATGGTGATTTTCCAGTTCGCTATGTTAGTCATTACCAGAGGGTATCCTGAATGGTTTATGAACCATCAGGCTGAATTGTAACGATGATTGGAATTCGGGGGGGAATCATTTTTTCAGCTTTCCAGATCATTGAGCAGCAACTGCGGATGAGATGAGATGGGATGTCATAGGGATACGGGGATACATGTATATATATATATATCTGGGTAAGTTATAACGACCTCACTGTTCTCCCTCACTGGAATCATGGTTAGCAAGGAACATCATCCCAAATATGATAATTTACCCAGATATATACATAAATACTGAGGGATATGATGGGATATACAATCAAAGAAAAATAACATGGGTGAATAGTCCAATGAGATGAGACGCTGTGATTTTCAGACAATGCTCCGTGGGGTTCACCAACAAAGAACTGGGTGAATGCGGACAAGGCCCTTGGTTTTTTTAAGCCTCCGGTAATGACTAACATAGCGAACTGGAAAATGGCCGATTTACAGTTGATTCAGCTATTAAAGATGTTGATTTTCCATAGCTATGTTGGTTTACCAGAGGGTAGTAGGATTAAAAAAAGAGCAACACGTGATGATTGACCACCAAGACTTGGGAAATAAAAAGCATCAAACACAGGGGTTGAACTGCGCAGCTTGGACGTCAACCAGGGGGGATGTCATCAAAACAGCGGGATTTCACTATGAACTTTTTGGGCCATTCGCGATGAAACAGGGTGTTTTTTTACGAATGGAGAGGGATTTTTCTGGGCCGATGGCCAAGTCATGTAACATGGCGGGAATTCCCTGATCTCAACAGGTTCAAAGATGGCTGGATCCACTACATGTTTCGCCAGGGTGGACCTGATTATCACCAATCTTTAAGACCTGATCATTTCGTTGACCGGCTGCATTTTTTTGGCTGGTCCATGTTAGATTTTGTGGGATACCGGTATCTATCCATGTTAGATGTAATGGTCGCAAGAGACTGGCAACAGGCAGTAACAACAGCTATATAGTTCCAACAATGCGCCCTTTTACAAACAAGACAATCGCAAACAGAGCAGAAAATTCAAAAGACATCACGCATTTGATTGCATTTAGCGAGGGCTCAGTCCTGAAGCTTTATTTAGCGCATCAACGCTCTTCGTACGGGTTCAGACATGTTGATAGCCACATATGGATAGAATCCGATAGAACTTCTGGCTTGAATTGTGGAGAGTTCATCCCCATTTTGAAGGACCATAGGAAAAAAAGGTAGCAGATATTCATAAATGGGGGGAGAAGGAAAAGAAACCAATATCAACATCTGATGTTAGATAACCAATAGTAAGGACGGTAAATTGAGACGTGGGAACCGTAGTCTGTCCCATGTAGAAAACCTGGGAAAAGAAGCGTTGTGATTCAACTTCCTGATAGTAACATATACAGAATTCATTGGCGTTATTCCAACTCAACTGTTGGTGTTTTTCACACCACTTCCTGAATCTCAAGAAGCTTTTTTTTTAAAAAAATTAAACCAGACACTGATTTGCTACTTGAAAATCCCAGTTTTTGTTGCGTCAGATCCTGGTCAGATCTTCATGACGTCCCTCCGGGTGACGTTTGACAAATAGGAGCCTTGGTGGTCCGCTCTCTTCGCCGCCACGGATGTGGTCTGGGGCCCCCTGGGGGCCTGACATGAACTGAGAACATCTCAGCTTTTCAATGTGATAATATCAATCAACCATTTTTTTTCACGATTGATTCACCATGAGCAATAAATTGAGGTAACTTTGATATACACACACATATATATATATATATAGAGTATGTATAATCGCAGTATCAAGCACCCCCGTTCTATCGTCCCAAATATGTGTAAATCCCCAGAATAAGACCATGGTCCCTGGGGGGTGTTTTGTATTAGGGGGAAGGGATTAACTAAGTGATTGACCATCAAAATCAATAGGGTTTCGCAACCATTGATTAACCCTGATTATATATGATAGTCGGGAATTCATGTACTTTGGTGGTTGACTAAGGTGGTCTATGAGGGAGACAACTAGGATTTATGGTGGATCTATAGTTGATGAAATTTATATACTCCATCTATGGAATGATACGTTCATCCAGTGCTTAGGGAGGAGCGGTGAGCGGAGCTATGGTTATATCCATATTCCCTATGAGCCATGAGGAGCCGCTGGGAATTCCTGAGTTTTATCCCAACCACATGACAGGTTTGTGCTCTTCTTGAATCTTTTTTGGTCAATGGATTGGTTTTCACGGGAAAATCTTCTCCGGAAACCATCGATGTTCCCATTAAGATCATGGGGCTTTCCGGTTAAACATTTCCTTTAAACCAATGCATTGATAAAATTTTTTTGGTTGATAATTCCAAGTCTTGTTGCATGTTAGGAGCCGAGTTCTGCCGCTTCTCTAGTTCATAGATGTCCGAAACCCGCTGGTTATTTGATTGAGGGGTGACGGGTGACTTTTCGCATTTTTGAAGATAGGTAGATGATCATCGTACACGATATTCAAACATACCCTCTGGTAAACGTTTACATAACTATGGAAAATCACCATAGAAATAGTGGATTTTCCCATGAAAAATGGTGATTTTCCCATTAAAAATGGTGATTTCTATGTGGAAAACCCCATGGTTTTCCCCAGGAAAATGATCTACAGTGATGGGTGAAACCCAGGATGAAGACGGCGTGGTGTCCTTGCAGGCGGCACAGTGGTGGGGATATGTAATGGTGGGGGCATGGGATTATACATTCCATGTACGTATACATATCATGTATATATATGTATATGTATATATACATACATACATAAGAGTCACCCCAAAAAGATAGAAACGTAACTTACCGCATTTTGAGTAGGATTTTAATCTTCTATTTTTTGGGTTACTATACATATACATATATGGATATGTATGTACACTAGATATGTATATATATACATACACACATCATATGTGAATTTGACATATTAGGTGCAGTTGCGAAAGGTCTGAAACCATTGAGACAATGTAGGGATTGGCCAACGTGACCATCGTTGCATTGAGTACCAGGAGATGCATCAGGTTTGATATGATTCTTGCCGCATTTGCGCTCAATGTTTGTTCAATATAGAGGTTCTAATTGTGAGAAATCCTAACAAAGGATTCCTTTTCTAAGTGCAACTCTTAGAATGTTCCTCCAGGCACATAAGTAAATTCACATTTTCCAAAATATTCTAAGTAATTGGCACTATATTTGGCTGAGTTCATGAGACTTAACTTGTTTTTTTGAGCAATTTTTTGAGTTTTGAGTTAATTTCATGTCCAAATTTCGCATCCATATCATTTCATCACCCAAGTGGAAGGTCTTGTTTTGGTGACCTTGCGATCATGGTTTTCCTGCGAAGATGACTGATTCCCACATGTTTCTTCATTGGTTCAACAACAATCACAGCATGGGGTTAAACCCTCAGTGTTTCAATGGCCATTTCAGGAACCGATTTATTGGAGGTACCTACCATATATAAGGCCTATGTAAGGGGATATACCCCCAAAATATGGCCCTACTGTATATGGTACAGTACCTCCATTTTAGGATCCTGAAATTCCCATTGATTGTTGTTGGTTCAATCCTAACTTTGAGAATTGCATTCAGATAGCCTGGGTCCCATTTGTTCCACTTTGAGATGGGTTAAATCACCGTGTTTAACAGCTGAGATCATCGAACTGAATATGTCATTTATACCAGAGATATGTTGAATTACCAGAGGGTCTGATTCCCAAATGATATTAGGTTGGTTAAACATATCTCCATCAAACAAATCCCCATATTTGCTGGTTCAATTCTAATCAAATCACCATTTTGGTAGCTGTAAAACATGGGAAATTCCCCATGTTAAAGCGCAATTTTTAGTGATTAAATACGATTACATTACATCACGATTTTTAGTGGTTAAACTTCCCAATGTTTGATGCTTGGATGGTATACAAAGCGTTTTTTCCTTTTTTTTCGACCTTGCGACGTGTCGTGTCTACGTACCGTGGCCTGTTCAGGACATGTACGACGCACTGGTCCTGGCTTTGCCGAATGACAAGGAGGCGCCCCAGGTCTTTTTCACCGAGCCGCACCAGAAAAACACCTGGTTGCGCGAGAGGTGGGAAGGGGGTGGATCATTCCGAGTGGAAAGTGGGTACTATGCGGTGAATTTTTGGGTTATATGGGATGAGATGGGGTTAGATGGGGTTTAACACTATATTATATATAGATAGATATGTATATGGGAGGTTTATGTGGGCTTAGGTCAACCAAAAAATGGAAAATCCTGGAATCGGGGACTAATCCCAAGCCATGTTGAAAGATGATTTGAATTCTCCAAGACTCAGACATGCTTCAAGCCAGGACAAGCGATGGAGCATTTCAATGTTCCTGTTGTTTATCCTAAGGGACGAGTTGATAATTTCTCCCCATTTTGAGAGATCCTGGAGAATCATATTTATGCATAATTTATCATCACCAAAAACGTCGAAGAGTAGGGATTTGCCATTCATCTACAGTGTTCGGAACTACTCTTTGATCTTCTTGCGAACCAACATCCAATCAGGACTAGCAAAAAAACACAAGAGTCGACCATGAAAAATGGATGGTTTCTTCCGTTTTTGTTGGTTTCTCCAGTGAAACTTGTCTCAGTTTCGTCTTCGAACTCGCACCAGGTCGGAGCCATCTGCACTGCAACGTCTTTCATCGCCACAGCGAGAAAAAGATGACAAGCCTGTTACCATCTGGTAATTTAACATAGCTATTGAAAATAGCCATAGAAATAGTGAGTTTTCCCGCTAAAAATGGTGATTTTCCATAGCTATGTTAGTCATTACCAGAGGGTATCAGGGGACTGTGAAATCGATAGTTGAACATCATCGAAGCAACATCATCCAACAATAAACCTACCATTTGGGTCTGGTGTATACAACCCATTTGTGGCAATATTTAAGGGAATAGTTCATAAACCATTATTAACCATCATTAACCATCATTAACCATTATTAACCATTATTATATAACCATTATTAACCATCATTAACCATCATTAACCATTATTAACCATTATTAACCATTATTAAACCCATCATTTACCATTGGGTTTCCCACAGTAATCCAACGTAGCCAACGTAGTTCGTAGTTCGTATCTGCCATCGTTTGGAGATTTCTGGGTCAATCCTTTGGGAGAATTTACGGTGAGGGTAACTTGTTGGTTTGATGGGAAAAACAAAGTACCATTTGGTTATTTAACATAGCCATGGAAAATCCCTTAATTATAAATGGAGGTTTTAATGGGAAAATCAACCATTTTCCATGGCTATGTTAAATAACCAGAGGGTACATGAATCAGCCAGAAATGGTATCTTTTTTGCCGCGAAGCAAATTTTAGGGCTGTCTGAAAAATCGGGGTACACTTTCTAAATTCCAAAGAATTATCATCGTTTTTCTGATTTCAAATTATGATTTTCTGATTTTCCTATCATTGTCATTCTGCGGGGTCGTTATCATTTTACTTCCAACATATTTTTTTTCTTATTTCAATGTCCATTTTTGGGTCAAACAAAACATGGGAGCTCATGTTCGAGCACCGCAGCTTTGGATCTTAGTGCTGCCTATAAGAGGTAGTCATAAACTCCATATAACCGGCATCTATATCACTAAAAGCGAGATACATCATCAGTAGGTCCAGTAGGTATGATGACATTATATATACATATATGGACATATAATCGAATCACATATATTTATGTTCATATATTTATGTTCATATATTTATGTTCATATATTTATGTTCATATATGTATATACATATATGTATATGTATATATGTATGCATGAGTATATATATATATAAATGTATATGTGTATGTATGTATGCATAAAATATATATATACATACATACATACATACATACATACATACATACATACATACATACATACATACATACATACATACATACATACATACATACATACATACATACATACATACATACATACATATACATATATATATAACATATACATAACACACACACACATATGTATATATATATATATAATGCATACATAATCATGTATAGATGTATACTTCCATACACATATATAGATAATCACATATGCATGTAATTACACGCAAGAGTTTCTTGCCATGAGTTGGGTATCTCAAGGGCCGCTCCGCCAGAGGAGTTGGCTTTGGAGCGTGCCTTGTCCCAGTTTATCATGGAGGAATATCCAGAGGAGTTGCCGTCGGAACTGGGGCGGGTTAAGCCGTTGATTTCACTGGGCGACATGTCCTACGACTGCTAACTGGAAGCGACATGCTTATGTTAATTGAATTTACATGTTGGTGATTATATATATATATATTGTATATATATATATACATATATATGTATGTATATACGCTGTATATATCTGTATGTAATCATATTTGCAAATGTACGGTGATAGATAGGTAGAACAACACCTATGACATGCAGTATCTTAATGTATTTCATATGTACATGTATCATCCAGACACTTGTACGTGGACATCATCCCAAAAAACGGGGTATACCGACCCACTTGGCCTTCGATCTGGGGGATGATTTATCATTGTGGCTTCCCCATAGTGCACATGTTTTTTTCTCATGTGCCCCATCTTTCAGTCTCAGGTTTACCCTCTGGTAAACTAACATAGCTATGGAAAATCACTATTTTCAGTTGGTAAATCCACTATAAATGACCATTTTCAATAGCTATCTTAAATTACCAGAGGGTAAAATCACTGCCTACCTTGGCATATCCACAGATCCTGGCAGTGGAGGAGCTGCTCGAAACGGCTGAAGCCGTTCCTCCGCAAGAGGAGCCATCTGCGCCGACAGCGCCGCCGACCCCTGCCAGGCGCTATGGGAACCTGCCCATTTTGGACCATAAAATGTGGGACGCTTGCATTTCAATATTCCGATTTGGAAATCGAACGTGTTTTTGTTTGGCAGTGAATCTTGAATCTTTGGAAAAAGACATGTTTTTGTTTGGTATTCAGGTTTGGGCTGGAAGTTGTGTGTGCTGTCAACTTTTTTTGGGGCCTGTTTTTTCATGCCGGCAACACATGGGCGGCATTTTTGGTGAGAAGGTCAACTAGTATTGGGTCCGCAAGTAATGTGTTTGAAGATTAGAAATCTCAAACAGGTTTTGTTGGTCGAATCCCCTGGAATCACTAGATAATCCTGGATTTGGAATGTTATAACATGTTATAACCGTCGCGATCAAGCCTACGCTGCAACGTTACCTCCAGGTTCATGTCTCCCCATCTCTGGGATATGGGATTTAACCAATATTTAAGCATCTAGGATCGACATATGGGTATGGATCAATACCTATGAAAATACCATTTTTAGGGGGATGAACATCCATAAATCCCAGCTATTTTGAGGTGAACTACAGGGGTACAAGGTTTTGACACACTGCCATATAATTTTGATTTCATAGGGATATAACCATCTATAACCAATGATGATTTGCTTGGTGCGGAACGCGCCACGTCTTTGGTCTTGGGATGATGTCCACCAGACCTGGCGACCAAAAAATGAAGTATTTACCCTCTGGTAATTTAACGTAGCTATGGAAAATCACCATTTTTAATGGGAAAATCAACTATTAATGGCCATTTTCAATAGCTACGTTAAATTACCAGAGGGTATGTAGTTGATCATCCATCTACTTACTTGTGCTTGGTAGGGAATGAGGGAATTATCCACAATAACTATCAATAATCATCCCAGCAACCCCCAGCAACCCATCCAGTCCCCACTACGCACCAGTAAGTCTATAGTTGATCATCCATGTATAATCCACAAAAGTGGATCCATCCACATAGTGGATCATCCATGTTTGTAGAATTCCGAGTTGGATCATCCATATTTTTGATGCATGACACATTTTTTTCAACTTGTGATTGCCAAAATAGGCATGGGCATAGGTCTGATTCGGATACAAAGGGTCACAATGCGTTTGCAAGTCGAGCACCTGCGGCATATTTACCCAAAACTGGCCCAAAAAACCATCATCAACATGATGACCATAGATGTAGATTTCTTTGAGGGATTTGTTTGGGGTTAACCCCAATATTTTCAAGAAATTGAAGCTGCATTGAACCCCTAAAAGGGTAGAAACGTGTTTCCAGGATGGTATAGATGCCGTTTTCCTCCATATTACCCAGGTTTCCACCAGCCACGGTGGCGCCGCCCGTTGCAGCCGCTGAACCACCGGGCAAATTGACGTTGCAACTGGCGCCTGAACGACGCATGCCGGGGGTCCCATGCAGGATCCGAGATTGAGGTGTTTAGCCCATACATTTTCATGGCTCCCCCCGTTGAAAATGACATCATTTTGAAGGATAAACATGGCACCTATAAAAAAAACGATTATTGGATTTGGGTCTCAAGTCATGTCACTGTTGATGCATACCTTATCCATCATAGGATTCAAATATTTAAATGGAGGTTCATACCGGGACAAATACTGGAGGAGCTGATCGGACTTCGGTCACAAAATCTCCACAAAATGGGGGGTTTGGACTCCAATTGACTCCAAGATCACTGGGGGGGAGTTCAGAACCCCACTGCCCTTGTCAAGGGCATTCAATTATTTTAAACACCCTGCTTCAGCACCAAAGACTGTGATCCAACCATAGCAGCGTGTCAGGTTGAAAGATGAATCTAAGTACTACAGTCCATATGTGCAATATGCATGCATACTAATTGCAATTGCTGTAGTTTTAATTGATTGTAATTAATTGATACTAATTGTTTGTATGTATAAACATCATTGCAAATGTATATCGAAGGATTTCTTCATGAACAAACTGTCGAAGTCGGGATCCTCCCCATTGACTTCGGCAGAACCATCCACTGCTTAGTTAGGGTCCATCCTGTGTACTGAAGAGTCCCTTAGCGATGCGGAACCAGAGGTTTGGTGGAAGTGATAAACATTGATAAACCGCGGGATCTGGCGGTACCCTAGTTCCAGACTGCTTGCGGGGTACATGGATTTCATCTTTCATGAAATGAACCTATTTTGGGGAGCCAAGTTTGACCACGGGATGTTGCTTTGTGATGTGCCTCGAGAGTGGGTCGGTTTGCGGATGGGACAATGCCCAAAGGAAGCAAATGCCTGATCACAAAGAAGTTGAACAAAGCGGATCTGGGAGGAATCGAGCCTCCAAAGCTTGGTTCTGCCAATGCTGAAGCATCAGAGACACAACGCCGCATCCAATGGGCAACAGATCCTGCTGCTGATTCTGCAGAACTATGTCCTTTGTTTACCCGCTTGTGGCGCAGAAATCCTTTTTTGGGCGTCTGTATGACCTATCATTTTTGGAGCATGTCTGCATGAAGTTTCGGACCCGCACAGATTGGTGGAATTGTGGGTTGATTTTGTTTTTTTTCTCTTGTCCACGATGAGGCTTGACGTTGATATGGAAACCCAAGCACTTACAAAAATTGACGATAGTGATCTATGATTTGAAACGAATGAGGACTTGGGAGGATGAAACAAATTGTTGATGGTTATCCGCATTTTTTTGGTCCTTGGATTGAACAGCTACCGCCATCATAGATGCTCTTTCTGCCCAACAAAATTTTGCGGACAACCCACCATGTGGGAACCCATGGTGGATACAGGGAGTCATTTAACGGTTGGGATTTATTGCAAATTGTTCAGATTATGTAGTTTGGGGGAAGCCAAACAGTATGAGGAATAGTGACCATGTCTGGACTTTAATCACAAGCAATTGGGCTTGTTGTTGGTAGAAATTACTCATATGTACATCCCAAATAGGTATTTTGACCATGAATCATGCTCATTTTGACCAATTTTGAAACCAATTCATTACCCCAACGAATCAAATACATGTAATTTCTAGTAGAAGCATTATCTTCCAAACACATTTTTGGCGTTATTCCATGTTCGATTTCATGGATGATTTGCGATGTCCATATGCAAGAGGGGAAATTATCCATGGATCTAAACCCATCTATTTGAACCAACTCGTTTGAACCATGGGGGGATTCTGGTAAGATATTTTGGATATAAACATATGTCAGCCATCGTTGGGTGATATACAATGTGGGATATACCAATCAAAAAAATGCATTAGTAAACCCAATTATATATATGGCATATCTGTCCCTGGCCCCCCTGTCTCTCTATGAGCCTTTATATATATATATTATAATATATATATATTATACATATTTATATATTATATATATACATATGTATATACTATTATATATATAATGTATATACGTATGATATTATAGCAATCCTGTAAAGAGATGCCGGTTCGCTGTTTCCAGACACTTCCTTCTTCTGGTTTCGCCAAAAAAATATCCAGGTTTCCGCCTTCTAGGTCTGTTGCTATTACCCTTAATGTCCCCATATGGGGATGGCTCGAAACCTATGAATTTCCCATATTTTGGGGAATAAACATGAAAAAAAAGTCCCAGCTATTTTAGGGTACTGTTTGGGTACCAGGCTTTTGACTCATAGCCGTTTTTTTTCGCCAGACATATACAAGGTGAGTTTCACTTATGAACTAGTTCGATATATTCCCCATTCATCAACCAAACAAAAAACACCAGTGGTGATAAGTGAAGATGTGCATCAACTTAGCCACCATACATCAGTTATATCAACTTATAAGTCCCCGATTTTTTTTGGTTAAATCAATTAAATCCCACCTAAACTAAGTCAAGGGAGTCTCACATTGTTATCCCATAGAAATCACAATTTTTGGTGAAGCATCACCATTTTCCGATGGAAACATCCTGGGTTCTGGGGCCTCACTGGCAGTCGCCCTGTCGTAAACGAGGACTGACTCTGAGAGCTGGGAACAACTCTGGGAGCAACTTCGGCTTCGAGGTGGGGAGTGAAGGGGGTAGAATGGTGATCTAATTGGGATATATTGGGATATCATTTGCTTGGGATAATTGATATAACCCATGACGGATCCATGGTGCTGATATATATATATATATATGCTAACATTTGGGGTATAATAATGGTAAATGTTACCATATATAGTATACATGGATCCGTCATGGGTAATTTGGTAGGATATAACGGGGAATATGATAATTGATGATATATATATACCCTCTGGTTATTTAACATAGCCATGGAAAATGACACATTTATAGATGATTTTCCCAGCTAGAAAACATCCATTTATGGTTGGGGATTTTCCATGGCTATGTTAGTCATAACCAGAGGGTATATACACATTGTATATAGAGTTTGCTTCATTTGGCCATGGGCTGGCAGCATCTGGCAGCATCTGGGATTTGTCTTATTGTAGGGGGTACCCCATGAATTTCCCCAAAAACGGTTATTTTCACAGGGTTTTGGACAGGAAATCATGGATTTTATCGTCCAGTTTTTATCATCAGATTCAAGTGATTAAAAGCCCTGAAATAGTCTTTCCATGCACTTTCTCGACGACTTCCAGCTCCGGAATGATGAAAAAGCAAAGTCATTTGGGAAGAGGAGAAACAGCTAAGCATGAGGATCCACCGTGAATTACGTCCATGTATATGTATACTCCCCGGCAATCAAACGTGGCAATAAACAAAAACCCTATCCATGGAGGTTTTAAATGGAAATCACTTTCAAATGGAGATTTTTTCATTGCCATGTTAGTTCCCGGAGGGTATATGTATGTCTATGTCTATGTCTATGTCTATGTCTATGTCTATGTAAATACATATGTCTATACATATGTCTATACATATGTATATACATATGTATCCTATCTATCTATCTATCTACCTACTAATCGATCTATCTATCTAATCGATCTATCTATCTAATCGATCTATCTATCTAATCGATCTATCTATCTAATCGATCTATCTATCTAATCGATCTATCTATCTAATCGATCTATCGATCTATCGATCTATCGATCTATCGATCTATCGATCTATCGACCTATCGACCTATCGACCTATCGAGCTATCGATCTATCGAGCTATCGATCTATCGATCTATCGGTCTATCGGTCTATCGGTCTATCGGTCTATCGATCTATGGATCTATCGATCTATGGATCTATCGACCTATCGATCTATCGACCTATCGATCTATCGATCTATCGATCTATCGATCTATCGATCTATCGATCTATCGATCTATCGATCTATCGATCTATCTATCTATCTATCTATCTATCTATCTACTTATCTACTCCTCGACAGGATAACATGGACGAAAAAAAACAACTTTTTTAGTTCCGTGTTAAGAAGACTTTTTTTTTTGTCGTGTTCCATGTTAAGGCCAAAACGCACAAAAAAATGGTTTCGCACGCTAACATAGACACATTTGGGGTAAAACTCAAAATCGCCCCAAAATGACTGTATAAAATTTTCATTATTTAACGTGGACCGTATGTTAGCCAAACCTACATTGACATAATCCAATTTAGGGGATTTTTATATATTCTTGTGCCATTTTTGAAGGTGAAAATTGGTCCGACAATCTTTTACATAGACGCTGTTATGGAAATAATCGTTTTACCTGAAATCGTCCACGTTAAAAATTGTGGAGGTCTGGAGGACATCTTCGAAGGTGAAAATTGGTCCCACAATCATTAACATAGATGCTGGTATGGAAAAAATCATTTTGCCTGCAATCTTCCATGTTAACAATAGTGGAAATGTGGAGGACATCTTTGAAGGTGAAAAGTTGACCCCTGAGCCTGTGGAGGAAACAACAGTAACAGGCGCGCAGAACTGAAGCGGTTAGGAGGGAGCAGGAGACCAAAGCAGAGGCAGAAAGGAAGGGCCGGAGAATGGCAGAAGAGGCCCGCAATGCCCAGTACCAAAGGAGGGGGCAGGAGGAGGCAGAAAAGAAGAGAATGGCAGAAGAGGAGCAGAAGGCTGCAAGCCCTGACGCAGCAACAAAAGAAGCACCTCGAAGCAAAAGAGGAGGAGAAGAGGGCAGCGAAAAGCAAAAGTCCTACCATCAAAGTATTTGCCAATGGCACGCACGTTCCGGCTCGAAAAATTTTGCTCCGTCCTGGGGCAACGAGCTTCGAAGTGAAAAGATGGCCCTTCTGCTCTGCCTGAAAAAGCTGTGGACATGGAACAAGGAATGCGGCGATTTGACGGAGCCTGAGTTGGAAAAAATCGCTGGATGACTGCATGACTCTGGTCTCTTTCCAAGGGAGTTCCAACCGCCCCCCACTTGACCCGCTCGTTAACATGGCACATGGGAACCCATGCAACATTTGATTGTACAGTGTTTGAATCCATCCGAACCCCCGCAGTTCTGTATTCTGCCCTGTGCTTTATGACCCATTTTGCATGCCAGATGGAACGAGACCACGTACTATAGTGGCAACCAGAGCCACAAATGCACAGTACAGGACGCCCTAGGACGTGTGCAATAGACCGCTTGCATTGACGCTTGCATTGGGCAAAAAAACGTGTTTTGGTGCGAATTTTGTGCATTCTCTTTGTCATTGTTTGGCACGCTACATGAAGCCAGCCATCCTTCAAGATTTAACATGGACCATCCACACGAAACGAGACAGGACATGACAGGACACTTCAGGAATTCCATGTGTCATCCTCCCTCAGAAACCCCAGTTAGCATGTCTTAACATGGACCATTTGCAATATCTGAGACAGGACCCCCCCAGGAATTCCATGTTAAACTATCGTGTCATCCTACTCCGGGAGTCCCAGTTAACTTTGTTTTAGCATGGACCATTTCCAAGGTCTGAGACGGGACCCCTCAGGAATTCCATGTTAAACTATCGTTTCATCCTACTCCAGGAGTCCCAGCTAATATTTTTTTAAATATAGACCATTTACAAGGTCTGACACAAGACCCCCCTCGGAATTCCATGTTAAACCATCGTGTGATGCCCCCCGGCAATCACTAACATGGACTACTTGTTGATGGTTAGGAAATTAACATGGAAGGATTTAGGGGGCAGCCAACATAGGTCGGGGTCATTTTCGGAGGTGGACATGGCACAAAAATGGCTCCAAGCAAAATTTGTTTTTATTCCATGTTAACCATGTTGGGGCCATTCAGGCGACGGGTGGGCGGGTAAGTTTGAATCCAGGCGCGTTGTCCAGCCGCAGTATTGATGTCGAAATGAAGCAGTTCCCTGCTTTTTTGTTGGCCGAAATGCCGGCAAGGTGCCAGACATAGCCTTTAGGGAATCGCTGCCACTTTAAGCTTGTAATGATTGTCTTATTTCTATATCTAAAAACATCTACATGTATAGATAGATAGATAGATAGACAGACAGATAGACAGACAGACAGATAGACAGATAGACAGATAGACAGATAGACAGATAGACAGATAGACAGATAGACAGATAGACAGATAGACAGATAGACAGATGGGCAGATGGGCAGATGGGCAGATGGGCAGATAGACAGATAGACAGACAGACAGACAGACAGATAGATAGATAGATAGATAGATAGATGAGCAGATAGATAGATGAGGAGATAGATAGACAGAGGAGATAGATAGACAGAGAAGATAGAGAGAGACAGAGAGACAGAGAGATAGATCGATAGATCGATAGATCGATAGGTCGATAGATAGACAGAGATAGAGATAGAGATAGAGTCTAGATAGAGATAGAGATAGAGTATATATATAGATTAGATTAGATCAGGTCAGAACAGATCAGATTAGATTAGACGGATGGATAGATGGATTGATGGATAGATGGCTAGCGAGGCGAAGAGACAGAGAGACAGAGAGACAGACAGACAGACAGGCAGACAGACAGACAGCCAGCCAGCCAGGCAGGCAGGCAGGCAGGCAGGCAGACAGACAGACAGACAGACGAGAGATAGATCGATAGATCGATAGATCGATAGGTCGATAGATCGATAGGTCGATAGATCGATAGATCGATGAGATGAGATGAGATGAGATGAGGTGAGATGAGATGAGATGAGGTTAGATTAGATAGATAGATAGATAGATAGATAGATAGATAGATAGATATGTATTTGTGTACCTCTTAAATACACAGGCTCTGCAATTCCAACTATTTGTTTGGGTAGGAATTGATTACCTGGAGCGGCAAAGTTCATCACAACCTTGATCGGGACATGCCGTAAGCATCGCTTATCGTTTGCTATAAACAGGAAGGGGTGGCAGGGCCGGATTTTACAGGGCTCTACTCCCGCCCCAAAAAATAGACTTAAAATGAAAATCCGAATTGTGGATTTGCGGGTTCGTTCCATTTTTTGCAATTTGTAGCATAAAAACTGTGCTGAAACCATGTCCACTCGCAACTGCACAAATTTTTGGTCGGAATCATTTTTTTGTTGGAGTATGGTAGGTTTTTGTCGTGAAGATTCCACTTTTTTTGTGCTGGCTAGGGCGGCGTCGCAGCATTGGAGCGCTAGTTAGAAGAGGTGCGCCTCGTGCTTCAGCTGTCCCCTTTGGTGGAGTTTCTGGCGCCAGGATTCACAGCCCTCATGGTGGCCTGCCTGGGAGCCCATGCTTGTTTGGCCTGGTCCCAGACACAATTGCGTTTTGACAGAAACCAGATTTAGGAACCAATGTCCTGAGGGTTGCAAGATTTGCTGAATATCTCAGAAAAAACCGAAAAACAGTGAACTTGGCGACTCCATGCCATGGTTTCATCGATGCGCCGCCGAGAAGTGGCTTGGTGCTGCTGCTGCTGCTGCTGCTGCTGCTTTCATCTGCTGCTGCTGCCCCACCAGCAGGCGCTGCGCCAAGCAAACGTGGCGGGAAATCCTGTATAAATGTGGGTTTAATTTGAACATGATTTATACATAGGGGGATTTTCCAGCTTCATGTTTGATTACCAAGATTCCGCGGGGATGAAAAGTGTATAGCTGGAGATATCAGGGAACTCATTCCGAAAAGGCCCTTGCAATCACTTACCTTGCAAAGCGCCCTTTCGTATGCTGCAAGTTGGTGCTTGAATTTTAGTGGCAACTTGCTTCACAGGGTTTCACAGCAACTGGTCAGAAAGTGACTTGTTTTATTCAATTTCACAAGAAACAATCCACGATTATGTTGTGAGGCGGACTTAGTATCAAACACCTTTCTCAACCAGGCGAGATTTGCGTTGAAAGCTGCAGGGTGACCTCGTCGCGGCCGCAGCGGTTGATGGAGTGACATATACCTTTCTCTCTATATATTATACATATATTTATATTCTGTAGAATATTGTCATTGGACATTCTTGCTGCGTGTAAAGAACCAGCATCCAAATCCAAGCGGCTGAAAGGCGGCACATGCTAAAAGCATGGTTGTGTGCCCAGGGCCCTGCCATGTCCTGCAAAACGGCTGGTGGTCACGGGCAATACCAACCATTTTTGGCCACCACATGGCAGGCCGACATGTCGAAACTCTTCCAACTGGTTCTAACCCGGTTCAGAAAACGCACCCTCCCTGGAATTGTCCATTTTCTCAATGTACCCTGGGTTGGTAGGTGCGCCAATGGTTCCGAGTCATGTATCCTGTAAAGGTAATGTTTGCGTCAAGTTGGGTAATCCAAAGAACCAAGAAGTTCCAGCTCTTCAGGTCCTGATCTTTTTTGGTACCATTTTCGTGTTCCATGTTATTCTTCGGAAAAAGTCAATTTTTGGTCTATGTTATCCTGAAGGAGTCTGTCTGTCTATCTATCTATCTATCTATCGATCTATTTATCTATCTATCTATCTACCTATCTACCTATCTACCTACCTAATCAATCAATCAATCAATCAACCTATCTGTCTATCTATCTATCCATCCATCCATCCATCTTTCTATCTACACAATATAAATAAATATATATGTTTATATTTACATACAGAACATACATTTTTAGCATACAATATATCATATATTTATGTCTGTGTATATATATATAAATATCTATATATGCCTGTATATATATATATGTATATATATATATTTATATACACATATAATACACACATTAATTTTATAGCCCGGTATATGCCTGGAGGGCACCCTATGTGACCAAACGGAATGAGAGGTTGGACCATCGTTCTGGGACCTCGTGGGGACCGCTATTGGCTGCCGCAGCTTGACCGAGCAGATGCTGGGCGTTGGCCAAGTGAGCAGTGTTATACTGGCTGGCTTATAGGGATTCCCCTATTGGATTATTATAATCCCCAATAGATAAAGGGTATTATAATCCCCGAACTAATCATCAACCCTGCCAGGGGTTTAGCAGCCACTGCTCAAGTGGTGAATTTAGGGCTTTTAACCAACAATGTGAGACTCCTTTGACTTAGTTTAGGTGGGATTTAACCAACCAACATGGGGACTTATAGTTGATATAACGGATGTATGGTAGCTAAGTTGATGCACATCACCAGTGTTGATGAAATGAGGATATAACGAACTAGTTCATGGGTGAAACTACACCAACTTAATAGGGACCCACCTTGCAGCAAAACATGTGATTTCGGGTCGGGAGGCAAAGGAAAGTCAAGCAACAAAACTGGTCACTTGAGTGGGGAAAATATACAGTGAAGAAAAAAGAATGGCAAGTCAATTGTTTTCTTTTTTGCATCGCGGGTTACAAAAAATGGACATCCAAAGTGTGATGGAATAAAGTAACCGGGAACCATGTCCAAATCCAGCTTGAATATCACTGTCTGTACTGGCTCTCGATGTCGAAGTTTTCCTATTTTTGATCAGGAGGGATGATGATGATGATCATCATCATCACCGTCATCATCATCATCTTCTTCCTCATCACCATCATCATCATGATCATCATCATCATCACCATCGTCATCATCATCATCACCATCTTCATCTTGATTACTACTCTCATAACCATCATCACTATCATTATGATGATGATGATGATTAGCCGTTGACTACAATTTCTCAGAAGGGTGGTTCAATCTCAACCAAGAAGCAACTCAGCTGGCGCACAATTTGGTCTTGGCTTTGACTGAAAATGGGACATCCCAATTCTCATCCCATATGTTTTTTTTGTCATCAAGTTCCTCCTTCAAATGGCATTCTTATGGATGTTTCCAGAATTTGTAAACTCCTTTTATGACTTAATTAAATTGCCATCTATTCTATTCTTTGCTGGTTTGACCCCCTTTTTTTGGATGGTTCGAATCCTATGAATTCCCTTTCTATTGCGCTTAGAATATTGGAATTCCAGTAATCCCATATTCGATCCCATTAATCCCATACTAATTCCCAGGAATCCCATATTAAATCCCATAAATCCTGAAAAATCAGATTAAATCCAAAAAATCCCGTATTAAATCCCATGAATTCCAAAATAAATCCCATAAATCCCACATTAAATCTCATTGGTTGATCCCAATCTGCTCAGCCGTGGCATTTCTTGGCTGGCGTTTGGGCTGAGGCCTGGGGTGAAGCGAGAGTGGCCATGGCAGAATCGCAAGGATTACTTCGATTCCAAGAAACAGGTGCCATCGCTATTGAATGCTAGAGGTAAATGTGCCATTAGCTGGATCGATTCCATAGTTATTTATGTTAGTTTGAAACATCGCTGGAAAATCCCTCATTTACCCTCTGGCAAACTAACATAACTATGGAAAATCACAATTTTAAATGGGTAAATCAACTATAAATGGCAATTTTCAATAGCTATTGTTAAGTTGCCAGAGGGTATTGGATAATGATGGTTTGACCAAGAAAAATTGTGATTTATCAAAGAAAAAGGGTGATGGGATGGAATTTCACGGACATGTCATGGGTTTTGTTGGTAAACCCAATGCCATAAACCATCCCCAAAATCATCATATACATATATAGATGGGTGGGATTTCAACCATCCCCAAAGTGTTGGGTTATGGCATTGGGTTGCCAGCATTATTGAAGAATGTTGGGTAATTGTCACAATTCTGGGATATGTTCTTTGCTTGATAATTGGGATAGTTGTGGTATATATATATACACATACAAATCTCATAGATATATACACACACACACTATAAATCTTATATATATATACACATATGTATATACCATAAATATCATAGATATATATATATATATGTACCATGCATACACACATATACATACATATATATATGTTGTATCACACATATGATACATGTATATTATATATAATATAGGTTATATGTATATATATCATATATATATATATCACACACACATATATATATCATATATATATATATCATATGTATATATATATATATCATATATATATATATCATATGTATATATATATATCATATGTATATATATATATCATATATATATATCATATGTATATATCTCTATCATATATCATACAAACAAACAAACAAACAAACAAACATACATACATACATACATACATACATACATACATACATACATACATATATACATACATATAAAGATCATTTACATACACACAGACATACACACACACACATATATATAAATATGCATGTATATATACCCACAGGACGAGGGGTTGTCCCGAAGGGACAACGCCTGGTCCTACGAGGGTATGGCCCGGAGGGCCATACCCGCGAGCGGAGCTAGCAACCCATTGGTTCCATCATTCCAGTGCCAGGGGATTTCCTTGTCATAACATTTCCTTGTCATAATCTCCCGGCCCCATGGAACATATACGCATACTTCTATTAGGGATTTCACATAGGGTATTACATAAGTTATAAAATCCACCGGCCCAATCTATTAGGTGTTTCATTTAGGGTTTACATAAGTTATGAAATCCGGACTCGCCAAAAAAGTCGAAAAGATTGAAAAAGTGGAAATGGCCGAAACCCGTGCAGTCCACAGAGGGTTCACTTTTCTGACGGATTTTTCCAAAAAATCGTCTTAGACCACGCTAACTCACAGGTGTACCAGAGTCATAAAACACTGCACCTGCGCAGAGAAATGAGCCTCCCACTGACGTTCATACGACCATTCCGGGACAACCCTCAGTCCTGCCCGTATATATATACCATATATATATATATATATCATATTTTTATATATCACACACAATCATATATATATATCACATATATATATATGTATGTATGTATCACACATAATTTTACAGCTGTGCCATCCCCCCAGGCCAGTGTTCCGTGGGGAGACAGTTGCTGAGACTCGCAGCCAGTGTCCCGACCTAGATCCACGCGTGGAAATCGTCCCTCCTCAGGGCGTTACAGAATCAGCTCCAACCGTTCGCCTCATGTACTGGCAGGTTCACAGGATGGCGTTGAGTTGGTGGTGAACCTTGAGTCGCTGACAATGTCAGAGCCAGCCGGTCTTTATGTGAGAGGCCTTCCGGTAGGTATTTCAGTGAATAGTGTGAGGCGGTTGTATGAGACTTCAAGTGCCACATCCCCGACTTTGTAGTCTCTTCCGCAGAATTTCACGATGAGGCAATTTCCCAGTGGTGCAGCGGCTGTCATGCACCCATCTTTTGGAACTCCCTCAGTCGTGGCACGTGTGCTGCGTGAATTGGGCGCTTCCCACGCTGCAATGGCAGCGCTGCCAACATCGGTAGACCAGATTGAAGTCCGGCAGGCCCGGGAAGTTGCAGATCTCAACGAAGAAGAGCGAGGTCCATCGTAACTTGAGGCCGCTTCCATGACGGAAAATCAAGGCAGCTGATTGGTGTATGGTTTTGTTTGTCAACTGTCTTGGTCCTTTCTCTTTGCTAGTTTGGGCCACCTGAAGTTGGCAGTGAGGACTTGCAATGACGTTTGGTTTGTTTATCGGAGCTTGTCCGTCGATCTGCCGGTGGAGGCGTGTTCCCGGGCTGCAGCTACTGCTGTGAGACAACAACGAAAACAACAACATCATCAACAACAACAACAACAACATCAACAACATAAACATATATATATATATACACAGTGTATATATATATATGATATATGATATATATATATGATGTATGTATATCACACACACACATATCATATATACATAATACCGTAAATACTGTTTTATATCTCATAAATGTATATATACATATAGCATACATATATGATATATCCTAGAGACAACATACCCACCCACCCCCCTCCCCACCCCTCTCCACACCCACCCTGCCACCCTACGACCACCCTAGGAGGAGGGTTGGAACGCTGCACCATACAAATTTGCGTGTACTCTCCATTGTTTTCACTAAGTTCAGATTGGCTTTTTCCGATACTTGGCGCAAGCCACCCAGTAGAAAAAAACTTACCTGGACTGGAACCTGGTAGACATGGGCTTTGGCAAGATGATTTGGAGAAATCACATGGTTTGATCCTTTCTTTTGTTCATCTGGTAATTTTCAGTAAGTTCAGCAAAAAACACAACTTCAAGAAGCAGTGGATCGTCAAGCGCAGCAGCTGCGATGGTAGGCGAACCAGGCCTCATTGGCAAACACCGGCGCTTCACAATAGCTTTCATGCCCCAGCGACATGTGCGTGTCGCGAGGTTTTGTGCAGAGATTCCCCATCATCAAGACAATTGTTGGGTCAGAAAATCGATGGCTACAGATTGAGTGAAGGATTGTTGCCCATACCATGGAAGGATGCTACATTTAGAGTACATATGAAGGGGTGCATTTTGGTACTTCACTTCTTTCGTATTTGAGATGGGGATGATGTATCAGGCCGCAATGAGGTAAGACGGCCAATGGGAACAATGGCTGGTAACTACATTCTGAACTGGGAAGGCATACTGACTTAAGTGGCAGTGCCAAGGATACATGGGAGGTTCTCCAGATTTGGGGACGTACTCACTATGTTTGCTAAGCCCAACTGTCAGTCTCAACTTCATGGCCAGGGACCCAAAGTTGGAACTTCGCGGAAGCTCGCGGAAGGTTATATTTATATATCGCGGAAGCTCCGCGGAAGCCCACTGAACTAGACCTGGTGCTGCAATCGACAATTGGGGAAGAAATTGCACAGATGGTAAGGGGACGTAGTTCGTGACAGGCAGGTGCCCTCGCGCGCGGTCGGTTTTCAGCAGCTGTTTGGGGCTAGCGAAGGAGCAACTTGTTGACCGTACTGGAAAGCGGAGGCGCTATAGGTTTTGCTTATCGCCAGCTATGGGGGACTTGGAAGCCACGGCCCCACCTACCGGCTTTGCCAGCTGAAGGTGATTCGACACTTGCGTGACCAAGGGCACGTGGTGGTGGAGGCGTGGGTGGAGCTCCGAGTGAAAAGCTTGTGGGCAGAAAGAAAGAGCATTCCCAAAACACAGCTTGTCCATGCTTGTCCTTTTTGATGAAGCATGTGTAACTCATGGCCATGGATTTGTACGATGAACATGGGAGCTGCATGGAATCAGGCCGACCTCTGAATAGCCGCGATGCAGATTAATGGATCCGCAGGGGATGCACATGTGTATGCGAAATCCAAAATCGCTAACTGTTCGCATCTGTTGTGATGTTCACATCGAAAACCTAGCCGTTGATGGGTAGCTACAGTCGGACAATCGGACAATCGACCAATTAGAGTTCGTAAGCGGCAATGAAATTGGATGTTTGTCCATGAAAAAGTTGTTGGACCCAGATGCCGAGTAGACATTTTTTTTCGGCATGGCTATGTCACAATTCATGCTTCTGCCGTTTCACCAAACTTCAGGTGGCGAGTGGCGGCACACCCAAGGTGGCAAGTCGGGTATATAGGTTGGAGAGGTGTTTTTTGTCGTGGATGGAGGGGATCTTTTAAGATTGTAAAAGAAAATATGGTTATCGACCAAAAAGGTGCTGTGCTGGCAAAGAGAGAAGGAAAAATGGCGAAGAAACACCACAATTTCCCCAGCCACGGTTGGACACATATCCAACGGCAATGACTGTATGATCACCAACACCCGAATCTCAAAAATGAAAATGAATATGGGCCAAACCAAAGGGGTGTCGACCCAGTTGTATGACAGAAAAGGCCATGTAGGGGATCAATAACCAAAAAAACATGGAACCTACTGACGGTTGGTCATTCAAATTCTACATGAATCTCATCCCCATCATATTGAGTACCCCTTATATGGTTCTTCAAAATGAATTGGCATGCTTTATGTTAATTGGGGGGGAGGTATTGTCAACCCCGGATTTGATAAACCACTGGGCTGTTGGATTCGCATATCATCACATGTGGGGCAACCCTGTTGAAACCCCCGTAAATCAACCACGGATTCTTACCCGGAGGTTTCCACTATGGCCTTGAACTTGAAAGGAATCCCATCATATTGAGTATCGGAATATGCATTGAAGGGCCAAAATTCTTTCTACCTTTATAAAGAGATAATATTCATATACCAGGAACCATTGATGTAGACGTGTGTTTTTTCTCATCATATACCAAGAAAATTGATTGTCCTGAAAGAAACCTTCAGATTTGAACGTTGCAGGCACCAAATCCATACCAGAAATAAGTACAGATCACAGATGACAAACCCATGGAGTTTTCCTAAAATCTATTGTGACCTTGGCCATCCGGGGCTACGAATTTCTAGTGCTCAAGCATCTTGATTTCAATTTCATTTCTAGTCAGACCCACATGAGTTCAGTGTCAGATGATACAGGCGACCAAGGCCTTTAGCCGTACCATGGGGC